TTTCCGTTAATCAAATCCAATGTGCGCGGCGCTAAGGCGAGAGCCACATTTTGAAATCGACCCGCCCTCCATCAGTGAAGCTGTTGCTAATGTTTAAGCTTTACGGCCGTCAATGATGAGGAAGTTTCTGGCGAATCGCCCAACCTGGCCTAAAAACTGGTTTCGGGGCGCGACAGGGAGACGTTATTTATAAGGAAAATGATTGGAGGATGAGGAGGATGATGATGATGAGGAGGAGGAGGACCAGTGGAAACCAAGAGTCATCAACGATGTTAAAATGAACCCTGCCTCCAAGCTCCCTCTTCCCAGGACCCTACAACGGTGCATTTCCATTGAGGGAACTGCCTCGTTGGAAGACAACAGTTTGAAGATCCTTAGGCGTGTCAAAACATTGTTCTCGGGAGTTTAACGCCACGTATCAACCTGAATGCTGCGTCGTGACGATCCAGCATCGTACCATAACGCCATTTTTGGGACTTCAACACAGCGAATCAACAAAACTGTTGCGCCCGTATAATTATGAGTCCTTCCAACATGCCATTTTTGGTACGTCGGTCATGGGAACCAGTAGACCTCTGGTATTTTTTAAACGAATGTGCGCCGCGCTAAAGCGAGAGCCACATTTTGAAAAGGAACCGCTCTCAATCCGTGAAACCCTTACACATTTCTTCAACGAATGTGCGCGGCGCTAAGGCGATAGCCACATTTTGAAAACGAACCGCCCTCAATCCGTGAAACTCTTGCACATATTTTAAGACGAATGGGCGCGGCGCTAAGGCGAAAGCCACAGTGTGAAAACGACCCGCCCACGATCCGTGAAACGCTTGCAATTTTTATGACGAATGTGCGCGGCGCTAAGGCGATAGCCACATTTTGAAAACGACCCGCCCCCAATCCGTGAAATTCTTCATGTTTTTCAACAAATGTGCGCGGCGCTCAGGCGAGAGCCACATTTTGAAAACGACCCGCCCCCAATCCGTGAAACGCTTGCAATTTTTCAAGACGAATGTGCGCGGCGCTAAGGCGAAGGCCACATTTTGAAAACGGGTCGCCCTCAACCCGTGAAACCCTTGCAAATTGTTAAAAACGAATGTGCGAAACACGAATGCGGAAGCCACGTTTTGAAAGCAACCCGCCCTCCATCAGTGAAACTGTTGCCACTTTTTAAGCTTCAGAGTCATGAATGGTGAGGAAGTCTCTGGCGAAACGCCCGGCCCGCCCGAAAAACTTGCCTCGGGGTGCGGCAGGGAGGAGTGATTTATAAGAGAAGGAATGGAGGAGGAGGAGGAGGAGGAGGAGGAGGAGGAGGAGGAGGAGGAGGAGGAAGAGGAGGAGGAGGAGGAGGAGGAGGAGGAGGAGGAGGAGGAGGAGGAGGAGGAGGAAGGGGAGAAACATAAGGAAGATACCTAAGTCTGGCGCCCATATCGCCAAATATCGAATGGGTGAGAGGCCACTCGGGTGGCTGATGCGGTCTCGTGGGAGGCTTCTCGGAGGCTCATTGATTGCAGATGTTTTGGCCTTTGGGGGGCCTCCTCGGGGCCTCTTCGGGGCGTCTTGGGGGCATTTTGGGGCCTTAGTGCCGAAGGCTTGGAATGCCCGTTCGGGTTTCCCCTCTGGTCCCCGTCTTGGGGCTGTTGTGGGGCCGTCTGTAGCCGTCTTGGGGGCCTCATGGGCCGTCTTCGTGCCTTCTTTCGCCGTCTTGGAATCATCTTTGGGATCATCTTGGGCCGTCTTGGGCCGACTTTAGAGGCGTCTTGGGCCGTTTTCGGCGCTGCGGAAGCCGAAGAGGCGAACCTGCTAAACTTGTACGTCTTCCTAAGGGCATGGGGCGATTTCTGCCTCTTGGGGCCCCCTCGGGAAACTTTTTGAAGGCCTCTTGGAGCATCCTCGGGGCATCTTGGGCCGTTTGGAAGCAAGCTTGGGCGGGTTTGAATCATCTTTCGGCGGCTCGGAGCTCTCTTAGATCGTCTTGGGGGCCTCTTTAGGGCCGTCTCAGCCCGTTTTCGGGCCTTCTATTCCCCCATGCCGAGCTCGAGCCGGGTCGGGGGGGGGGATGGGGGTAAAGAATTTCACACGCCTGGAGACCCACAAGGGGTCGGCGGATTCGACGAAGCTTCTCAGGACGGTAGGGCCCATTCGATCGATCCGACCCGAGATCGTTTCCCTGGCCCGAGCCAATTGGAACTCAACGATCCGACGATGTCCAGTGCTTGCTTGGCGCGGTCGTGCATCCTGGCCATGGTGCGGCCGATACGATTCGACATGTATCCCGATCCGATCCGATTTTCTGGTTCGATTTTGACTGATCCTGGACTGCGGTGATGACAAGGTCTTTGTGGGTAGGAGGATGAAACAGAGGGGGCGGAGGAGGAGGAGGAGGAGGAGGAGGAGGACGAAGAGGAGGAGGAGGAGGGCAGATGAGGAGGAGGAGAAGGATAATGAGGAGGAGCAGGAGGATGGGTAGGAGGACGATGGTATAATGATGATGTTTTTTTCTTCATTGCATCTCTCTTCTTCATCCTCTGTCCCCTCGTCTTCATCATCACAACCCATGGATGGAGTACAAGGAGGAGGATGGAGGGATGAGGAACAGTTGGCTTTGATGATAAAGGGGAGGCCCAGGCCTTGCCGCGAGGCGAAAAAGAACACGAGGAGCACGTGGGCAGAAGGACGAGACGAACCTCGATGATGATGAAGTTGGCGATGACGGTGAGGATGATTGCGATGAAGGTGAAGGAGATGATGATGACGATGACGACGATGATTGAGATGCCGATGTCGAGGAAGGGTATGATTATGATAATGGTGATGATGATGCGGATGATGCGGATGAGGATGATGCGGGTGATGCTGATGATTCGGATGATGATGATGATGATGATGATGATGATGATGATGATGATGATGGCGATGATGATGATGATGATGATGATGATGATGATGATGATGATGATGGTGGTGGTGGTGGTGATGATGATGATGTAGTTGTTGCGGTTGATGGTGATGATGTCGGTGATGACAACGAGGATCACGCGGGAGATGATGAACACTGTGACGATGGTGACGATGATGTTGATGACGATCATGATGATGATGCTGATGATGATGCTGATGCTGACGATGATGATGATGCTGATCATGATGACCGTCAGGAATAATGTTGTGGCTGGTGATGATGATGGTGATTGTGACGATGGCGATGACGATGACGACGGCGATGATGGCGACCACGCCGATGTTGATGCCGATGATGATGAGGATGGTGATGATGATGATGATGATGATGATGATGATGATGATGATGATGATGATGATGATGATGATGATGATGATGATAGTGGTGGTGGTGGTGATGCTGATGATGGTGGTGGTGATGATGAACGGGTAGTAAGAAGGTGATGATGAGGAGGAGGATGAGGAGTTAAAAGAGTGATGATGATAGTGCTGTTGCTGATGATGATGCTGACGACGATGATGGTGACCACGCTGACGATGCTGACGACGACGATGATGATATTGATGACGACGACGCTGATGACGATGACGATGATGATGACGACGATGACGATGCCGATAATGATGATGCTGATGATGCTGATGATGCTGATGCTGATGACGATGCTGATGATGATGGTGATGATGATGATCGTGATGATGATGAGGATGGGGACGATGATGACGACGATGGTAATGATGATTATGATGATGATGTTGATGGTGATGGTGATGCTGATTGTGATGATGATGGTGGTGATGATGAAGAAGGAAGGACTGATAAGATGATGATGATAAGGGGGACGATGAACAGACGTTCTATTATTGATGATGATGAAGACGATGATGACGCCGATGATGATGAAGATGATAATGATGATGATGGCGATGCTGATGCTGATGCTGCTGATGCTGCTGATGCTGCTGATGCTGCTGATGATGATGACGACGATGGTAATGACAATGATGATGATGATGATGATGATGATGATGATGATGATGATCATGACGACGACAATGCTGATGACGACGATGATGATGATGACGACGATGACGCTGACGACGATGACGATGACGATCATGATGATGATGGTGATAAAGATGATGCTGCTGCTGCTTGTGTTGATGATGCTCGTGATGATGATGATGATGATGATGATGATGACGGTGATGATGCTGACGATGACGATCACGACGATCACGATGACGATGAAGTTGACGACGACGACCTCGACGACGATGATGATCACGATGATGATGACGAGGATGTTGATGATGATGATGATCATGATGATGACGACGATGCTGATGCTGATGCGGATGCTGATGGTGCTGACGGTGACGATGACAATAAGGATGACCATAATCATGACGATGATGTTTCTTCTTCTGGTGACGATGATGCTGATGATGATGTTGTTGTTGATGATGATGGTAATGACGATGATGATGATGATGATGATGATGATGGTGATGGTGATGGTGATGGTGATGGTGATGGTGATGGTGGTGGTGGCAGTTGTGATGATTACGATGACGATTATGATGATGACGATGATGATTATGCTGATGATGAGGATGATGGTGGTGGTGGTGATGATGATGATGCTGAGGAGGAAGAGAAGGAGGAGGAATAGGAAGAGCAGGAGGAGGAAGAGAAGGAGGAGGATGAGGAGGATGATTTGGGCCAAGATGGGTTGGATATGCCACGGCCACGGAGTAACTTTTTGCATGTAGGACGGGACCACTTGTATTGAGCTGCTATCGGCCGGTAAGGTGGCAGACTGGTAGTGTATGAGGACGAGGAGGAGGACGAGGAGGATGCCGAGGACGAGGAGGGGGAGGAGGAGAGGGAAAAGGATGGATAATGAGGAGGAGAAGGATGCGGAGGAGGAGGAAGAGGAGTAGGAGGAGTAGGAGGAGGAGGAGGAGGAGGAGGAGGGGGAGGCCCGCCAGCATCAGACCTCGAGTCGGCCTGGTGCGGTCGGCGGGGCTCCTTGCGCCAGGAGACCTGCAGCGCTAGCTCCGCGCCGTCCTCGCAGGCGCCGCCGGCGCCGATGGGGCGCGGCATCCTGGGCTGGATCCTCGGGGAGGCCCGGGTGGGCGCGCGCGCGCGCGCGCGGGATATCGAAGCTCCTCCGCGCGGATTTCGGAGCTCTCGAAGTTCGCGCAGATCTTTTGGATCGGGGTTGGGCCCCCCTGCCAAGGGAAGGGTGGGCAGCGCTGCTCATGTGGACTTTTTTACGTTTCATTTTTTGTTGTTTTTGTTTTTTTCTCTTTCTCTCTCTCTTTCACTCTCTTGGAGAGCCGTGACCCCTCGGCCGAGTGACCTTTGGTGCGGGCCCACAGAGGCTCCCCCAGCACTGGCGTGCGCGCTTGGAATTTGGCGTCCCCGTGGATGTTCGTTGGGACCTCCTGGGGGCCTTTTGGGGCCTTTGGGGGGCCGTTTTGGACCCTCTCGGGGCCTCTTGGGCCTCTTGGGGGCCTCTTGGGGCCTCTTGTGACCTTTCGGGTGCCTCTTGGGGGTCTCGTGGGCGCCTCTTGGGGCCTCCTGGGCGCGACTTGGGGCGGAGGGTTCGGATTTGTCGGTTCGTGGTCTCTCTCTTCGGCCCCTTCTGTCTTGGGGCCCTCTTGGGCCGTCTTGGGTGCCTCTTGGGCCGTCTTCAGGCGCTCTTAGGCAGTCTTGGGGCCCTCGTGGAGGCCTCTTGGGCCGTCTTGGAGCGTCGGCCGGAAGAACAGGCGAGAATGTCAAACTCGTGCAAAAACCAACGAGAAATCAATGACTTTTGCCTCTTGGGGTCCTCTTGGGAGGCCACTTGGGAGGCCTCTTCAAGAGGCCTCTTGGGGCGTCTTGGGGGCCTCTTGGGCCATCTAGGGGCCATCTTGGGCCCTCTGGTCTGGGGCCGTCTTGGGGGCCTCTTGGGGCTCTCTTAGCCCGTCTTGTCTTGGGGCCCTCTTAGGCCCGGACAGGTCGCGTGACAAGAAGACCCAAGGCCCAGGGAGCACGCGAGAAGCCCACACGAAAATTTGGCAACTTGGGGTCCGGGTCCCTTGAAGAAGGCTCGGGAGTGGGGAGCGAGGCTCAGAGGATCGGGCAAAGGACCCGAGGGCACGCCCAACTCCGCGTGCAGTCGAGAGAGTGCCGCAGGGCGGGGAGTGATCTCGTCGTGGTCGCGTCGCCTCGACCTGCTTCGTGTCAGGGCCTCCGCTGCGCTCGAAGGACCGGGTTGCGCCACTGCTGCCAGTTCTGCTCCTCCTCCGCTCCCCCTGCTGCTCTATGTCCTTGTCCTCGTTGTCACGCGAGAGCTGCAGGAAGACCCCAAACCCATCACAACGGGTGAAATTTGCGGAACGCTTCAGGTTTTGTTAATTGATTTTCGATCTAAGATTCGTTTCGTCTACCCTTGTGTGTAGCGAGTCACTGTTCGGTCCGCGTTCGTGTCACCTCCTCAATTCCTGCTTCATTTGTGGGTGCACAGATGCGTGCAGTTATGAGCGCGTCAAGGGCTGGAGATCGAAGCGCTCGCGAAGCGCGCGTGGTTTCTATGCACTCCTGTGCGGCATAGGGTAGGTGCGCGTCGTGTCGACCAGCGATGACCCCGCCGCTGGCGTTCAACGTTGAACGCCGCCAGCGACCCAGAATCGGCCCAATGTTGAACGATTTGATTTTTCGTAGAGACGGCCGGTCGTTCAAGGTTGAGCGATCCCGCGGTGTCAGAAGCCGACGCCGAAGTCGGCACGACACGAACCTGCCGTACAGTCGGACCGAGGTATAAGATCGAGGTCGGTTCGGGGAGGGTGCCCTGATGTTCCTCGTGTTTGTTGGATGTTCTTGTGCACTCCGGGGAGGGTACCCCATGGATGTTTTGTGCGTTGGGGCTGGCGGAGGGTCTCGTGTTCCGGAGGGATGCTGTTCTGTCCCAGGTCCGACTGCGTGCGGGTGTACAGACGTGCGTGCGCGAGGGTCCGGACGCGGCTGGGAGCACGGGCGGCGGCACTGGGCGCTCGCTGGCGGGCCGCTCAGGGCCTGCGGAAGCTCGCCTCCATGGTCAAGGCGCCCGCGAGCGCCCGGGGGCCCTCTCAGCTCGTTCGGTGGCGAATCGCGGGAGCCTTGCGTAGCCTCGTCATCCTTGGAGCGCACCAGCGCCGATCTAGCGTCTGGTCATCGGCGAGGTCGCGCCGACTTGGCATCGATTTGGCGCCGATTCGCGTGGGTTGGCGTCGATTCTGCGTTGGTCCGCGTCGATTAACGTCGGTTCCCGTCGATTTAGCGTTGATTGGGGTCGATTTAGCGTCGATTTAGCGTCGACTTGCGCCGGTTTAGCGTCGATTCGCGTCGATTCGCAAGAGCCGCATGGTATGGGAGGCTCCCACGAGTTGCCGCAGCACTCTCGCGAGCGCGGGCTGCCCGTCGGGCCGCGTTGGCGGCCGCAGCGGGGGCGAACCATTCTCAGAGGAGGGCCAGGCTGGGGCCACGGCGGCTGGAGTGCTCGGGGGGCCCCCTCGTCGCCGCGGCCGGACGCAGCTCGGATGCGCGTCGGTCTTTGAAAGTGGGTAAATTCTGGATTCCCAGATCCCAATCTACCGCAAGCGCCTTCCTGCTTCAGGGACCGATCTGCTCTTGCTGTGTGTTGTAATTCTCTGGGAGGGCCTGTCGTTATTCTCTGGGGGGACTTGAACCCAATCTACCTCATCCGCCTTCCCGCTTCATGCTTTTGCCTGCCTCTTCCGACCGACGTGTAGCTGGTGCGTCTGGACTCCGGCAAGGGTCGGGGGATTGTTTTTTCGGGGGGCTGCCGTGGTCTCACCTCGCCCTGCTCCGAGGATGGGCCAGGGGCTCGGATCGCCCACCGTCTTCGGCGAGGTTCCCTTCGGCGAATGCGTGCAGTGCCCGCCACTGGGCTATCCGCCTCTTTCTGTCTCCGCCGATCTAGTTCGTCCTCCTCTTTGTCCTCCTCCTCCTCCTCCTCCTCCTTCTCTTTCTCCTCCTCCTCCTCCTCCTCCTCCTCCTCTTCCTCCTCCTCCTCTGACATCTTCGCGACGTGAACGCGTCACGAAGGAGTTATTTTTGGCAGTTTCTGGCCCCCTACGGGCCCTTGCCGGGCCCACTCAGGAGGTCAAGCTGGTCCTCGGGGAGGGGTCGAGACCTCCAGGGAGCCACGCTGCGGAAAAATCGCGAGGCCGGACGTCTAGGTCGTCCTCGCCCCCTGCTTTCTCGCCTTCGTACCTCCTCATCCGTATCAGTGTCTCTCTTCCTCCATCTGTCCCATCTCTCGTCCTGGTCGACCTCTTTCGCCTGGTCCGCCTCATCTTCGTTCTCCCCCGCCTCTTTTTTCACCTTCATTTCCCCCTCCTATTCCTCCTTCTCTGTCCCTTCCTCTCCTTCTCTCTGTTTCCCCCCTGTTAACTTACAGTTGACCCCAGTCCAACCGAATGTAGCTTCGCTCGACCTGTAGGAGCTGAAACAGTCCCCCCCATCTCGAGACGCGCAGCCTGATTATAGCCCCGCCCATCCCACCCAACAAAACTCCCACTCCGAGGCTCCTAGCTGTCCCCCCGCAGTCTCCTGAAGTGCAAATGTGCGGCAACACTTCCCAAGAGGCCTCTCCGATCCGGTCCGCCGGCACCCCGCACCGCGGCGCCCTCAGAGCTCGCCCTTGAAATCCGCCGCGGCGAAAGCCTTGACGACGGCCTTGGCCGAAGGATGGGGACGAAGGAATTGATGACGACCAGGCCATGGCAGTGTGCCGCTGCCGAGCTTCGGGCGGACCTCTGGTCCAGCCGTCCTCGCTTGCCGGCGGCAGTTATCTGAAGGTGGCCAGGGTGCGCTCGCGGACAGAGTCACGGTTGTTTTCGCAACCTTGCTGGCGCCTTTGGAGCTGGCAGCCTCTGAGTAGCCCACAGCGCGAGCGTAAGGGTGTTCCCGTCTGCGAGCCCACCCAAGGTGTCGGGAGAAGGACGGGGACGTGAGCGCCGTCTCGGAGCATGAGCTCCGCGGGTGGCCCTCCGTTGATAACGCAGGCAGGCCATTGACTCGGGTGCTGGCTTGTTTGCTGGGCCCTGGTGGCGCCCTCCTGCGTCGAGGGACGAAGCATGATGGAGATGAATCTCGTCGGCGCCGATTAGAAGCACGGTCCATGCCGGTCGTCGCCGACTCGCGAGGATTATCCACGAACTGACGACGACCAGGGTGGATGGACGATGACCAAGATCGGCACCGACGTTTCCGCGTTCAGTCTTGGCCAAGGCCCTCGCTCTCTTTCCCTACCTTTCGCCATCCTCCGCGGCAGCCCTCCTCCTTTCCTGTCAGGCCTTGGTTCGGCTACGCGCAGAGGCGGGTAGGGGGAAGGGGGAGGGGCGAAGGGTTCTTAGAAGAACCCCTGCTTCTCAGAAGGCGCGGGCCTTCTCTATGAATGTAGGGCCGGCGCCTTCTAAGAAGCAGCCTCTTTCTAAGAAGCCTTCCCCTTTCCCCTACCCCCTCTGCACGCCGCCAATTGGTGCGCAACTAGCTATGCCGTGCCTGGCCGTGGCTGCCCGACGCTCCGTGAACCACGTCGTCGCTACCCAGCAAAAGTCAGCGAACATCGAGGAAGCCGCCGACGATTTGCTTGTGGGGTTCAACCTCTCTGAGCAGATCGCTGGGCGCGATGCTTCAGAGGTATGTCATGCTGGCGGTGAGCATCGCTCTGCCCGCAATCGATCGCGACTACGAGGCTACTGCCTCTGCCTCCCCTGGGCGCGCGTAGACACTGCGGCCGCCGCATCGACCCCCAATGCGTTAACACCCAGATAGCGGGCAGTAGCTGGCAGGCGTCTGTCATGAACCCCGAGAGCCCTGCACACTTTTGTGGAAGAGCAGGAGCCCACTGAGCGGACCATACGGCGACGGAAGCCAGAGCCCTAAGCAAGCATGCTTTGTCGCCCGACGCCGCGCCTGTTGGCAGCTGACGGTGCAGGGGCATCCTCGCAGCTCGCATTTGGTCGATACTGCATTGCGTCGCACCAGAAGGCCAGAAGGCTGTACCCTGTCAATCACCGAGCGCGTTCCTCTACTCGCAACGTGCCTACTCGCAAACGTCGAAAAAAACATGTTTTCCTCTACGTAATGGAGCGTAAATCCACCGCGGCGGATTCAGGCCATTTGCGAGTAGCTACTTTGCGAGTTGTGGAACGCGCTTGTCGGGACAAGTTCAGGAGGGGCTCTGGTTTTCGAACCGTCCCTCTAGCTTGGGGGACCTCTTCGCGGCCGAGGCGCGCCATGGCCAGGAATGCTCCTTGGTGGTTCCTATTGGAGAGGCATCACGGCCGGTGCCGCCGACTGAACGACGGCGACGACGACAGCGACGACGACGACGACGGCGGCGGCGACGGCGGCGGTGGCGGCGACGATGAGGGAACCTATTCGCGGCCGAGGCTCGTCGTGGCCCGGAGTGCTCCTTCGTTCCTATTTCCGTGTTTCTCATGGTGTCGCTATACATTGTGAACCCATGCCAAGACACACCCTGCTTGCCTCCAGGGTGCCCTGAAGGCACACCGTCGCCATGGACAAGTGCACATGTGAGAGCCTTGTTCAAACCAGGGGACCCAGAGTTGCCTCTATACTTCCGCCAAATTACGATCATCCCCTTGATGTGCAAACTCTTGTCGCGGCTATTGTGCAACCGACTTGCTTGAACCCATTCTCGAACGACACCAACCTCCAGAACAGGCAGATTTTCGCAAATATTACAGCACATGCGACCATTTATTTACGCTGGTCATGATCCAAGAGATATCATGGGAATGACAGCTTCCTGTATGGACAGCAACACTGGATTGTTAAAAAGGCGTTCGATACAGTGTCGCACAGTTCTTTGTGGCCATGGCGTCGCAATGCGTTCCGAACGGCTACGTCGATGTCATCTCGGATATGTACTGCGGCCAGACCGCATAAATAAAACCAGACGTTGAGATTCAGGTGTTCAATATTGAGCGTGGGACAGAGCAGGGTGACCATCTCAGCTCATTTCTCGTCAACTGCTGATCTGGACAGATATTCAAAACATGCCGGGCGACATGAGAGAAACGGGAATCGGGACTACGATTTGGTTTTGTCGACAAACCACGTTGACTAATTTGAGATTCGCAGGCGACGTCATTCTGTTTGGGACATCGCTCACGCAGTTCCGCCGTTTGCTGGGGGATATTGTGGACATTGTTGGGCGCGCGGGTCTTGAGCTAGTTTCACCCCCAGAAGTCGAATCTATAGAATTACATTTAAGCGCGACGCCCGAGACAGTCTCCAGAGTACACTCGTGTGAACGACCTCAACATTGAGATCCTGCCGTGCAATGGCAGCCTAAGTATCTAGGACGGGAGTTTGCATTTGACAACAAAAGCTTGAACATACATCGACGCACGCATCAAAGCAGCATGGAACAGTTCTGGCCATCCAAAGAAGAAATCCGATCTCGATCGTATTCGCTGCGCGACAGTTTCCGCTGTTCAATGGCACCGTGATTCCTACGATGTTCTACGGGTGTGTATCATTGACAAAGACTATCCCATTGGGGAGGCACGTACGCACAGCCCAGTGGCAGATGATGCCAACCGTCTCGGGGTCACCACGAAAACGAATCTTCAAGGTCGGCGACGACAGCACCGGATCGGACACGAAAGCGAATAACAGCAATGAGTTGGAGCCTTGGGTGCTGGATTCAAAGCGCTACTCACATTTCCGAGCGGGTATTCGCCACTTGTGGCTATGCAAATTGGGTCATCTTGCAACAAAAGCGGAAGTTGGAATGGGCACAGGAAGTCAACGTTGGCAGTCTGCATGAGTGGACATGCGAAGCTTTCTCCTAAGATCCGGAAATCACGAGTGATATTGCGAAGCGACGCCCGCACGGTCTTCGACGACGATGGGCTAACAAGATGCCCTGGTGAGGGGCCACGGCCCCGCCGCCGTCCTACGCAGTAGGCGCTCCCCGCATGCGCGTGGAGCGGTGTCGGTGCCCGTCTCCGTCTCCGTCTCGAGGGTGCCCTGTGTTTCTTGGGTTTCGAGGGTTTTGCTAT